TTCGATTTGATTTGATTTGAAAAAATCAAATCAAATTCAAATTGCTTAAATATTTGATTTGATTCGATTTTGAGGAACCCTAATTTTAATGATATTTTATTATTAAAAAATGGATATAGAACTTAAGTGATTTATGATAATATTGAAAACAAATAGTAATCATTTGCTGATTATCTTATTTGAATAAATATAGTAAAAAATATCAAATGCTTAAAGCTAATTTTATAATTCATAAACTATTAATAATTTTTCAGTTACATTCAACTACAATATTTTATAGTAATTTCATTATAAAATATTTTAGTTGTATTCAGTCGCAATTTATTAGTAATACATAAATTATGAAATTAACTGTAATATTGGTAATAATATACTTATACTATATTATATTTATATAACTATCAAATATTCTTTTTATATTATAACTTTTTTCTTTAAAAATGAAGATGATTTTTATTTTTAAATTTATTATTTCAATAGATAACTTCATTTCAAGCTTAAATTGTAAGTATAATTGATCATAGTTGAAATTTGCAATAACTATATTATAAATAAGCCTATATATATATAAATTAGAAAATATAATATTTTTAAAAGAAATAATAATAAAAACAAAATAACTAATACAACTTATCTATTATTTTAACAATGTTTTTTGTGAAGAATTCAGGTATACTCTGATCGTTAGAGATTGAGTCAGATCAGCATTCTTTTGATATTTTGAGTGATGAGTTGAATTTAATAGCTTCTTGCATTTTCTGTTACTATTCTTTTCATTCTTATTAATATCTACATAGTATATATTGGTTAGCCAATATTATTAGATAAATAAAGAATAAATAAATAAACTTTAAAATAATCTTGCTAACTGTTTTTTTACATCTGATAGACAAAAATAATGTTAATGATAAGGACATCTTAACAGAATTTAGTTTTATTATTGGAGGAACTATCTTATGAGAAAACCAAGAACCTTGTACCATTGAGTTTAAGAATATATTTGATGAGATATGTAAATCAACATAGTCAGTCCTTATAGGTAACTACAATTTTTGTGACCATTCTGTAACATGCTTATTCTAGTATAATAAATAAGCTAAATAATTCTCTTGAAATTAATGCTACTTTCAATGTCTGAGATGAGTTTGTGTTGAGAACATTTGGTAAGAAGGAATTATTGTTATCGCTTAAGATCTTTCTTTTGTTTTGCATTTAAAACTCATGTGTAAATATAACTTTTTTGTATAATAAATGAGAGGAGATAGTGATAGTAGTGATAGTAGAACTCATAATAATTAAAACACTAATAAAATCGCATATCATCTAAAAAATGAAATATTATTACAGTATTAACAAAGAAGTGTACACAAAAAATATTAAGAATAGAAGAAGCCTAAATAAATATTATATGAAAAAAAACCAAATAATTTGCAGAAAATCAATTAAATTTACTGAATAAATAATTAGGATTAATCAGAAAATTTATTAGCTATTACTAAGCATAATATCATATCAATCAAATAATCAAATCAAAATTATATGATACATAACATCTATACTTATCAACAAATTTATTGTAACTTCAAATTTTATCTAGTCTTCCAATTTGCATAATTTTTAAAATTTAATCTAATAAAATAATAGATTGGATCAAGCTCTTTTAATCTATCAATTTATATTTTCGATATCTTAATTTTTGATTGAATAATTAGACTATAAAAGTATAAATAAACGTGCTAAATCCAGAATAATCTAACCAATAAAAATACACAATTTCACATGAAAAAATTATGTGATTTATTAATTTACAATCTGATTAAAAAGTTTTTTATACATCAACAAGTATGCTGTAAGTAAAGAAATAAATAAGCTTTATAAACAACAGCTTCAAAGGTCAAGTAGTAAATTTGAATAAAATAATAAATGATAAAAATGAATTAAGTGATAATAATGTTAATGATTAAATTAAATTATATATTACAGAAAGATTGGATAATGATATGATAATAGATGAAAAAATGATGATATTAACTTAGAAAAAGAAAAAGAAATTCAATTAAAATTAATAATGTTAAGCATTTTCTATTTAATTTCTAACTTAATTTTTTTATTAATTATTTTCGATTTATTTTAGAATGAAATGTTAATAATAAATTTAAAAAAAGAAGTGAGGATCATATAAAACTAGTAAAATATCAAAGTCAACATATTATGACCAAATAGCTTATTTACCAAATCAGCAATCAGCAATCAATAGAATTAATAATTTAACGATCACAAATTTTTTTAAATCTGATTCTCAGTTTAATACTAATAATATCTCAGATCAGAATAGCGAAGAAGATGAAATGTGTAATGAATCGAACGAAGAATGTTAATATAAAATAAATAAATTGATGTAAAATTAGAAAATTTAAAAAAGTGTTAAAAAATCAGCATAATAAAATGGTGACTAGTAAATATAATAAAAAATATGCAATTTTTGAATTTTTAAATGATTAAATAAAAATGGTGGTAGAAAAATAAAGGCAAATTTAAATGCTATAAAAATGGTTTTTGTTGATGGTGAGATTTGAAAAGTTCAGAATATATGATATTAGGTTAATTATTTATTCTTTCACAATATTCTTCCCAAAAAATATCAAGGAAAACATCAAAAAACTGTTCAGATAATTGATGATGAAGATATTGCTGAAAAATATTATTTTTAAATTTGTAATTAAAATTTTAAAGTTATGCTAGCAACATTTAAAAAATTTATTGAAAATAAATTATTTTCCAGCATTAGAATTGCCAAAGAAAAATCCATTATTTTGATGACTGCTGCAAGATGTAAATGAAGAACTCCAATTCTATTTCAAACAATTCAGTTATAAATATTTAATAATATAATTGCATTTATTATATGAATATGAAGGGTTTAAGATTTTTGGCTATTCATTTCAACAATATCATTATGAAATATATCATGATAGGTATGAAAGAGAAGAAGACATTCTACAATATTAAAAAAATTCTTAGAAAAAATATTTGAACATGAAAAATATATGTTTAAATACAAAGATGAATCTATGGATTGAATATATTTTGATTTACCTAAAGGAAAAAAAAAGGGTTTTTATAGTTTATGATGAATGCATTTTTTATTCAAATGATAGAAAACGTGAAATGTGGACTAAAGGTGATGAAATGCCATTATGAAAAAAAGGAAATAAAAGGTCAATCATGATAAGCGAATTTCTAACAGAGATTGATAAACGTTTACACTTGCAACAAGGTAAACCTAAAGGAATTAAGCAAGTATTAATAGAACATGAAAAATGGTTGCTTGGAGGATTTGTTTTGGAATGCAAAAAATGCAAAGAAAAGAATCAAGACGTAATAGTAACTTCCTGTTATGCATATTATGTAATATCCTTAGAATCAAATTTTCTCACTCAAAAAGAAGTTATTAAGGAGTTAATGCGGTTATAAATGCATTTTTTTTTCCTAAATTTTACTGCGAATTAAATTTTATTGGGATGCTACCAAAAGATATTCGCATGAAAATTATGATTATTCATGAAAAGGATTACAAAAAATTGTTTTTAAAAGTCTTAATTCAGTAAGCTTAAATATTATTAGAAAATTTTCAAGAAAATTTTAGCATTTTATGAACCTTTATAGGAAAGGTATTGGCAGAAAATTGGTGGAATATGCAGTAAAAAATATAAATCTCAGAAGAATCCCAGAAGAGGAGTTAAATTTATTTCACGTGATAAATCACGTGAAAATCTTCATTTTGAAATTTCAAAGCTGATATAGAAGGTAAATCCTCTTAAATATCTGAAATCTTTAAAATTTAATAACTTGCACATTATAAATAAACAATTGCGTAATGCCATAAACATAAATGAATACATGATAGCTTTAAGAAACATGTAAAGATCGTTTTTTTAAACAAATCCAAAGAAAAAATTTTTTTTTTTTAGATGCTGCGTTACTTTATTAATGTTTGAATTGTAATTTTTTTTTAAAAAAAAAGTTATTAAAATGTGAAAATACACCGATTTAGTAAGAAGATTCTTTTAAAATTAATTTAACAATAGCGATAGTAATAAAAGCTTAATTATGAAAAAATCTTCAATAGTAATTTTTACTATAGGACTAGATATAGTTTTGTTAAAATATGTCGACAGCACACCCCAATGCTACGGCCCGAAGCAATCGAAATAAAATAATAAAAAAGGTCCGCAGCGATCTCAACAGTCTAAAAAGAAAATTGACGGAAAAAAGAAAAAAAGAAAACTTAACTATACATTCAACCCAAAAGAAAAAAAAATTAAATAGATCAATCAAATCATCGGCATGCATAAGCATATGTATGCTAAGCAACTGAACTAAGGATTTGTTGGTTAGATTCAATCACAAAAAAATAGCTTTTCAGAATTCTTTCTCAATGCTAAAAATAAAAAAATAATGCTCAGAAAATGCTCAGTTTGTTTATTGAGACGGTCAAAGAGGTTACTCGTACAAAATAAATACTCTATTCGTGATTATTCGGTTAGTAAAGTATTTATATGTTTATTTCTAAATTATTCAGCTAAATTCATTTTGTGTAGACTCAAAGTTATAGCAACAGAAATTGTGTGTCGAAAATCTTTCTTCCAACCACGAAAAAGACTTCAAGTACAAAAGACATTGAAAAAGATGATGTAATTGGTAAGAGTCACCGACTAATGGTTCGCGCTGGGCTGATAAGACAGGTATGATTTTAAAGCTATACTTATTAATTTTTAACGATTTATGATAATGGTATATTATTACGTTGTTTTATAGTCCTCATCTGGAGTGTATTCGCTTTTACCATTAGCAGTACGCTCACTAAACAAGATAGAAAAAATAATAGATCTTGAAATGACAAATATTGGTGAGTAAAAACGTAATGGTTATATGTAATATATTTAGATATTTTTTTTTAACATAATATCATGATCGAACAGGTGCACAAAAATTATCACTTCCCAACTTATTAAGTGCTAATGCCTGGAAACGGACAGGACGTTGGGAATCAGCTGGTAGCGAGGTTTGCTATTGGTATAAAGAATAATTATAGATTTATTAAAAATTTAATCTCTTTTTGATCAACTTTTTTGAATGTAGCTATTTCGCCTTAAAGATAGGAAGGAATCTGAATTTTGTCTTGCACCAACGCATGAAGAAGAAATTACTCTACTAGTCGGACACGAGGTTGCATCATACAGACAACTTCCATTACGATTATATCAATTAGGTAATATTTTTAACGATCAACTACATAACATAAAATAGTCATGTGCATTTCGTGTTACAACAACCATATATTATCATGTATCAGGTAGAAAATATCGTGATGAAATGCGACCTCGCTATGGATTACTCCGTGGACGGGAATTCATCATGAAAGACCTATATACGTTTGACGTTAGTGAAGAGGATGCTCTAAGAACATATGAGGAGGTCTCAATTGCGTACAAAAAAATTTTCGAAAAGATCGGAGTTCCATTTGTTATCGTAAGTCCTTTTACTTTTATGAATTATTTAATGAATAAAGTGAATGATTAGTTTATTAATGTTGTAGGCAGATGCAGATTCAGGAAATATTGGAGGGACCAAATCACACGAGTTTCATTTTTTATCTTCAGGTGATATAAAATATAGATATTAAAATTTTGAAATCAAAAATTGTCTTACAATTCTTTCTTATAGTTGGAGAAGATTTGATATTAACTTGTCCGCATTGTGGATATTCAGCAAATGAAGAACGAGCACATGGACTTGTTCCTCCATCAAAACAAATATCTTCTCATGTAAATCAAAAGCCAACGTTTAACTTTGGGATTAGCAAAAATAATAGACTTATAATAAGCATATTAGAATTTGATCGTGCTTTAAATGTATCCAAGCTAAAAGCTGCCAACTCCGAGAACTTCGAAATCATTCAAATTAGAAATGATAATATAGATATAAAAGATATTCTAAGTAATAACAATTTCGAGGCAGTTGATATTTATGTTGACAATACTTTTCAGACAAATTTATCCGATTTAAAGTCCAATCAACTATTCAACAATATTATCTCTGAAATACAATCTATTGGTAAACATCCTATCAGTATACATCATGGTGACTTTCATAACACTTCTCCAGGTGATGAATGTCCAGTATGTTCCTCATCCTCGGTTCCAAATCATTCCGAAAGTCTTTATCCTCTTTTTGGTCATCGTGCCATTGAGGTTGGTCACACTTTCCTTTTAGGTACGAAATATTCAGAACCTTTAAAGGCTACATTTGCACCTGAAGATGTTGGAGAACTTAGGCCAATTCAAATGGGATGCTACGGTCTTGGGATTTCCAGGATACTTGCTGCAATTATCGAAACTTCGCATGATGAGTATGGTATAATTTGGCCACCATCTGTTGCACCTTATAAAGTTTGCATTATTCCAAGCTCAGATGAACCATTAATACAGGAATCAACGCGAAATTTATTCGACTTGTTAACTTCAACCAGCCATGAATTGAATGGTGAAATACTTATCGATGATAGAACCAATTTGTCTTTAGGTTACCGTATAAAGGATTCTGAGCTAGTTGGTTATCCATGGATGATGATATTAGGAAAGAGATTTTTAGATAGCGGAAGGGTTGAGGTACACGAAAGAAATACTAGGCAAAGAATTGATTTAAAGTTTGGTGAAATAGGAAATTTTTTGTTCAAATCACATGATGTCGATCATTGTTAAGAAAATAAATTTTTTTTTTTATCATTTCAAAAAAATGTGGCAATATCGTTTAAAAGGTTTTGTGAATCAATTATATTTTACATTATACCCAAACAAAAACTTAAATTCTTTTCGATATTATACGTCATTATGTCAAAAAAATCCAAGAGGTAAATAGTCTCTTTTGACGAAAATATGCCATTTTTATTCACAATTTCTAAAACCATCAAACTTTATAAGGACCGGGAATTAGCCGCATTAATCGTATTAATGTAAACAATTTGGTTGAAAGGATTAATAAAAGATCCGAAGGGCAAGATGTTCCCGATACAAAAGTACATCATGTTATTAAACCGTCCTTAAAAGTTTTAAATCGTTACCATCCAGCGGCACAAATTTTACAAAATTCCGCTTTAGTAGTAGCCAGACAGTTGGAAATGCTTAATGTCTTTTTGGTAATGATTTTGTTGTAGAAGCATGAATTCACAAAATTTCTTTTTACATTTTTTAACTTAAATTTTGATATTTAAAAAAATGAAGGGTTTTGAACAGGCAAATAAATATGCTCTTCTTGATCCCGATGGGAATTGTGTAGGATATATTGCTGAAGAGGAATCTTTTGCTTCAACTATATTAAGGCAAATTTTCAGAACGCACCGAAAATTTAACGCCATGATTATAGATTTGGATGGTCAATTGATTTTGAATATTAGAAGACCATTTGCTTGGATCAACTCTCGCATGTTTATTAGTACTAATGAAGAACAATTGATTGGAGAAGTTCATCAACAATGGCATTTATGGCGAAGACGATATAATTTGTTTATCAAGTATAATAAAATAATTTAAATGATGTTTTATTGAGTATTAATATTTATATAACATTTTCGAATTGTCGAAACATAAAATAAGCCAAAAACAGTTCGCAAGGATTGATACTGGTTTCTTATCGTGGGATTTCAATGTCGAAGATGAACATGGAAGTATTCTTGGAAGCGTTAATCGTAATTTTTCAGGTTTTGCCAGAGAGGTATATATATATAATATCATATTCATTTTCTTTTATCTAAATCTCCATACATGACAATTTTTTTTTTGTATTAAGATTTTTACTGACACGGGACAATATGTAATAAGAATGGATTCTGCACAAAGCAGTTTTAGAGAGTTGTCGTTAGATCAACGCGCTGTTATACTAGCAGCGGCCATCTCTATAGATTTTGATTATTTCTCGAGACATTCCGGGAACGGAGGGTTTGTATAATGAATTTTCTTTAAGCGTTATTTGAAGTAAATGACAAACAAAATTATTGAAATACTATTTGTTTTTTTTAAAAAAAAAATTTAGATTTTTACATCTACCTATTCCTTTTATTGGAGAAAGCAATGATGCAGATGATATAATTGATTAACATAGACAAACAAAGTTATTTTACTGTTTAATTTCCATAAAAGTATGTTTTATAAAATTTGATCGTTAGGATACGAGATCATAATTTTTGGGTTATTAAATATGTACAGTATATGACAAATTTATTCATAAAGATACGCAATTTATTAATACTTTCAAAGTCAATAATTTAGTTTTTTTTATTACCTTTATTTTTAATAACGTACAGATGCGAAAAAAAGAAATGCTCTTTTATTTTTATTCTTTGCTTCTTTTTTACATTTATTAGTAAATTAAAATTTTTTAATAAGTTATAAAAAGAAATGGGATTATGAGAATTTTTTGCATTTAATCTAATATCATATGTTATTCAAAACCTATTTTAACGTGTTTTTTATGTTTCTTAATTTTATTATTAGTTTATATTATAAAAATTATTTATTAAAAATAATTTTTTTAAGCTTAAAACCTTTTCGAAACCTTTAAAATGACTTTCTTAGACTTCATAGAATTAAAAAAACCTATTAGAGGTTTAGATAAAGATATTTATTATAAAAAATAGTTAGATCTCAAATAGCTTGACCTTTAAGATTACTTGTATAAATAAATAACCTGTGAATTGTGTTACTATTTGCCAATCTTTTTACCGACATAAAAAACACTGTAAAAAATAAATAAGTTTACATGTAACTAAATGTTATTTATAATCCTTGAGAAAACACCTATCCTGTGATATATACAATAATTTAGTGATTTGATCAATCATAATTTATCGTAGAATATTCCTCAGGTTGTTTTCATCCTGATTTGGGCATGCGACAATTTTTTAAATGTAGAAGATCAATGATTTTTAGTATGAGTTACCTATGAAGTTCCCTACGTATTATACTACTTTTAAGAAATAGTGCATTTGAATTTTGTTCTGCCACTCCAGGAACGGCAGACAATTCTTTCTACAACAACAGGGATTACCACAAAGTTTGGAAGTGATTATAGATGGTCAGAATAAATGGTCAAAAATAAGACCAATACTCATACATCCAAGGATTTTGTTCTATACTAATTGTCTTATTTTCTAGCTATGGACTATTAAGCATAGCATCAAGGTTAAGCGTTCGATTTTTAGATAAATTTGAAATAGCTGTTGATTATTGTTCAACAGCACGAGTACTTGATCTAATTTGGATAGCAGTAGGAGTACCGGGGGAGGACAAAAGTATTGCACGGTTTTGATTTAGATATTTTAGTTAATTTATCATATGTAACTGGGCCATA